AACTAATTTAAGATTTTCTCCCAGGCCCTTCTTGGAAAAATAGGACTAAAGAAATCAAGACTTTTGAATATTTAAGAAAAGTATGATAAGTACTTAATATTCATTTAAATTCCAATCCTGTACATTTATGGAACAAATAACTTGTTCTGTGTTATTTGATTTGAACATCTGAAGAAATGGAAATGTTGCTCATGTTCAATAACAGAACACTCAGGAGGGCCAAAGTATTTTGCTTTGTCTGTAATCTTTCTGTTTGTCTCTAATTAGGAAATTTCTCTAATTCTGCATTTCCACTGCCTTCATGTTAAAGATACAGAAAATCTCAGGGCAGCATATCATGGCTTTTCTGGTTTAGGCTGAAAGTCCTGATCTGACACACAATTCCTGATTTTATTTCCTGCTGTTGAAACCCAAATGAGCCTCCTTTGTCCTGGATCATGAAATTGTAGCTGGAGGCCTTAGGACTTGCACTGGTTGTGTGGTTYTACACTGTCAGCCTTTTATCTATGAATAAAATCTATCTGAAAATAAAAATCTTATCTTTTAGAAAAACTCTGAAAATCTATTCAATCGCTTGGTCGACCTTCATGTAAAAATAATAAAGATGAGCTTATTTGAAATTCTTCTTTCTTTGACTTGTAAGATGCATGTCTGTGACATCATGAGTGTTTGTTAGGGAAATGTGAGGCTTTGAATTTTTTATTATKAGGTAGAATTRGTGCTGTGGTAGCAGCAATTGCTGTGGTTTTCCTGGAAATGGTTGAGGTAGGGARGCAGATTTAATGGTCTGGGGGGAGGAAACTTCAGTGGGTCACTTTTGCTGTTTGACCTGATGCTGCACCCTTTGTAAAGTGGCTGAAAATTCACCTTATTGCATCTGTGGCCTCTGCTATTCCAGCAGCAGATATTTTCAGATAAACACAGATAAATTTTCCTATTCACTGAAAGACATAATGCAAATCAGAACATCAGTTTTGATTTGTTACATTCCTAGAGGATACTGTGCATGGGTGCTTTTCTTATGAGGCTGTCTCTGCTGCAGAKAGAGGTTTCATTTTCAGCAGGGAACATATTATGCAGCTTATTTGATTGCAAATTTGTTTGAACAGCTTTCAGCTTTTTATTTCCCAGTTAGGTAATGGAGCTTTCGATACTAATTGCATAATTGGCTTGAGTCACACAGATTTAAGGTGCAATGCCTGATCTGAATGCTTTTTAGCTTTTTGTGGCTTTATACAATAGGTGCTCTACAGCTGAATTTCTTTCTTCTCTTGAGGTCTATTCCAATGGGTTTTTTTTTTGCCTGAGGAACGAGGGTTTTCTTGGTGCTCAAGGAATAACCATCCTCATTCGTGAAGTTTTGATGCTGCAATATGCATGTTTTGTGGATTTGTGGATTGGTATCATTTTTAACCAATACACCAATGTGATGAAATAAAAATCATTTTTCCAAGTCAAAAATGAGTGCATGGCACAGAGAGCATCTTCTCTACCTGTTTCTTGTGGTTTTGTTTTCCTCTAGAGGATGGAGGGAGGGSTCATTTCCCAGTCACAATTTGACCTGAAAATAGTGAATCTCACACCTTCATTTATTCTCCTTTTGCCAGGCCTGAAGGATGCCACGGGYTCTGAGAGTGATGGTGGTGACTCTTGCAGCACAAAATCAGAAGGAGCCAATGGAGGCACGACAATCCAACCCAAAAAAGTCAAAGGTGTTGGTTTTGGRGATATCTTCAAAGACAAACCCATAAAGCTACGACCAAGGTCCATAGAAGTTGAAAATGATTTTCTGCCAGTAGATAAGGTATGTGTCATTCCTTAATTCTCTCTTGATGTTGTTTTAAAGATGTTTTCCTTTTGGAGTTTTGAGTTCTGTTACTGGGCAAAACTGGAAGCTTTATGGTCATTATTTCCTGGTCTTTCTGTAGGCAAGGTTATAGGATTTTTTTTATTTTTGCCTCAGTGGATTCTAGTGAGGTTAGCTATGTACTAAAATTAAAAAAATAAAGAAAAAAGAAAAAAGGTTGCTCTGATTTGAGGAAGCTCCTGGGCTATTSCTACCTGGTGTGGCAATTTCTCACCATTTGAGTCACACTTGTCTGCTTGTCTGTAGAAACAGGCACTGCACATTACATTTTTTGGCCTGCAAATTTTTCTTTTCTTTTACCGTGGATAATTTCAGTGATCTGATTTATTGCACCTTGAGTTACAGTAGTACAGGAGAAGGGGAGGTTCCTCCAGACAGAGGTGGAAAATTCAGAAGTGAATTATGCTGAGGAACACTTGATTAACATTTTGCAGGTGAACATTTTKCATTCTGTATGAAGAGGATAGGGAGGAGCTGGGATAATTTAAATAAAGGAAAAACTTAGACTGTGTTAGTGCTTGATTTCTTCAAAGCCTGCAAGGTTTCTGGGTGGATTTCCTAACATATGTGGGACTTTTTGGAGTCCTTTGTTTAAAGCCCTCATGAAGTGACCTTCATTCCTTGGAGGAAAATCTTACTCTATATATAATAATGTGAAGTCTTACCTTTGTTTTTCACAAATGACAAATAGGTTTGTTACCCAGCGAAAAACTAAATGAACAATTTTCAGGACACTTACAACACAGACCTTCCTTCCTATGGCTTCAGATTTCTCCTAAAATTAGCACGATTAGTAGAAAATAACGGCTTCATTTTGTAAATCCATCATTTGTGTTTCAAATGTGCATATAACTAAAAGCAACACTTCTTTGCTGTTGCTTTTTTTGCTGTCTGGGATTAGGTTAACCTTTGAGATGTGCCCTTCAGAGGCTCCAGCACTGCAGTGTTTGCCCATTCACACCAAAACAGTGACACAGCATTTGTTAGTGCTGCAAACCATTATCCTCCCTAAACACTTTCTCCTGGCTGCACCAAATTCCTCCCCTATCATTGCCATGCTCTGTGCTGTTTAATGCTGAGTGCAAGAGAATCCTGCATTCACTTGGCCATTTCAAGCCATGTCCTATTTAGCCTGAGAGCTCTCCATACTGATTCTAAACTGTTGCATTGCATGATGAACAGTGCCAAATTGGTCCAATTTTCCAAGCAATGTGTTTTTAAAGGGATCTTTGCCCTGTTATGTGTTTTTCTCATTTACAAGTTGCCTTAGTTTTTTAATAA